CTGCACCAATATTTTTCTCGTCACAGTCACCAATGACCTCCACATTATCAAATCTAAGAGTCTACTCTTATCCTCATCAAAGTATCAACAGTATCATTTGGCTTTCCATGACTGTCCTTGATTCTTTTCCTACCTCAGAGGTAGGAAACCATTTCCTTCAGATTTGGAAAACACTGAAACACTGTCTTTTCTGGAGCCTTCTCACCCTCCTCACTGCCACCCCAGAACTTGGACATTAGTTCTCTTCTCTACCAGCATCACTCCCTGGACCTCCAGTCCCTCGACTTTAAATAGAAAAATGGGAGCCATCAGTACATGTATGGTAACTCCAGCCCCAACATCCATCCAAAAGATACCCAGCAGTTCAAAAACAAGGTCAAAATGGAATGCTATCCTCTCCACAATCTGCTCTTCTCCCACTGTTCCCAATGTCACAGTAATTAACAAAACCATCCTTCCAATAGCTGAAGCCAAAACTGATTAGACCTTTATGCCTTAATGTTCCTTCAGCTCTCATTCTTCTTCAGTAATTATTTCTCACCACCTTGTATTATGATTCTTACTTTTTTTTTTTTTTGGTGCCTTCTACTTACAAAAGAATTCTTTGAGGGTAGGGGAATGTAGTATTTATCTGCACCTACAAAATCTAACACAGTGTATGTGGATTATTTGTATGAAGACACAGGAATGGAATGGCTCCTTCTGCAGAAAAAGACTTGGAAGTAGGAAAGTGTATTTCAGATAGATTTCTATTGAATCCTTAGTACTAATTCAGATAGAATAGGTTGTACCTTAGTAATAATTCCCAAATTCCAGCAGCACTTCACTTCCTGCTCACTCTATTTGTCAAACCCAGGTCACTGTTAGCTTGCTCCGGGTTCCGCACTCATGGAGTAGTCACCATTTGGAGCATTAACAACCATAATGACAGCAGGAAAGAGAGCGGCCAGTTATACACCAGAAGCTTCTACCACGAAGGGCTATACTTTATGCATATGCCATTTCACCGACCAAAAGCAACAAGGCCATACCAAACTTCAAAGGGGCAAGCAAGTACAATTTTACTGTATGTTCAGGAAATGGAAAACAAAAATACTTGATGGATAGCACAAATGAGTATCATGGGACAGGTGCTGTGGTGCAGCAGGTTGAACCACTACCTGCACCACCAGAATCCCATATGGGTGCCAGTTCCAGTCCCAACTGCTCCACTTCCCATCCAGCTCCTTGCTAATGTACCTGAGAAAGAAGTGGAAGATAAGCCAAGTCCTTGGGCCCCTGCACCCAAGTGGGAAACCCAATGAAGCTCCTGGCTTCAGCCTGATCAAGTCCCGGCCGAAGTAGCCATTTGAGGAGTGAACCAGCAGATGGAAGATCTCCTTCTCTGTCTCTCCCTCTCTCTAACTCTGCCTTTCAAATAAATACATTTTTTTATTTTAATTTTTAAAATTTATGTAAGGTAAACAAATTTCATGTATTTCATAAACACAGATTTAGGAGTACCCACCCTCCTTCTCGGCCCCACTCCTACCCTTCCTCCTTTCTTTTTAATTTATTTTTTTAAAGATTTATTTATTTGAAAGGCAGAGTTACAGACAGGCAGAGGCAGAGGCAGAGGCAGAGGTGGTGGTGGTGGTGGGGTGTCTTCCATTTGCTGGTTCACTCCCCAAATGGCCACAACTGCTGGAACTGGGCTGATTTGAAGCCAGGAGCCAGCAAGTTTCCTCTGGGTCTCGCACGAGAGTGCAGGGGCCCATGGACTTGGGCCATCTTCCACAGCTTTCCCAGGCCGTAGCAGAGAGCTAGATCAGAAGTGAGGCATCCGGGACTCCAACCAGCGCCCATATGGGATGCCGGCACTACAGCAGCAGCCTTACCTGCTACACCACAGTGCTGCCCTCCCCTCCTTTTTTTTAAAAAAGATTTATTTTAATTTATTTGAAAGAGTTACAGAGAGAGGTAGAGACAGAAAAAGAGAGAAAGCTCTTCCACCTGCTGTTTCACTCCCCAGATGGCTGAAACGGTTAGAGCTAAGCCGATCTAAAGCCAGGAGCCAGAACTTCTTCAGGGTCTCCCACGTGGGTGCAAGGGTCCAAGCACTTGGGCCATCCTCTGCTGCTTTCCCAGGAGCATTAGCAGAGAGCTGGATGGGAAGGGGAGCATCCAGGACTAGAACCGGTGCCCATATGGGATGTCAGCACTGCAGGCCAGGGCTTTAACCGGCTGCACCATAGCGCCGGCCCCCTCCTTCCTTTCTTATTCTTTAATTTTCACAATGACATACTTTTAGATTATTTTTTAATCATAAGATTAACCCTCCGCTAAGAACTCAACAAATAATAATAAGAAAAAAACACTGTATCTCGACAGTAGAGACAAGGGCTGTAGATAATAATCAAGTCTTAAAATGTCAATTTTGCTTATATTACATTTTTTTTGTATTCTATTAGTTACCACAGATCAGGGAAAACATATGGCATTTGTCTTTTTGGGACTGGCTCATTTTACTTTTCTAATGGTTTCCAGCTGCATCCACAAATAACTAAATCTTTAAAAAAAAAAAAAAGCCTCTCGTTCCAAGCAACAGTATGTTAACTCTGATCTGCATTCTCCACCTGTGAAAATGAACTTCCTTGATGGGAGAACCACAGACTTGCAAAGTACTATCTCCGGGTCTTTAGGAATGTAACTTCACCAGTTAGGCCTGCCTCTTGCATCACTCAGGAGTCAGAGCAGCAAAGCGGCCAAATACGGTGACAGGAAAGAGCTAGGCCTGAACCTGCTGGAAACTCTCAGGGTCACTGTCAGCGAGGGAAAGGCTTGAACAGGGAAGGAGAGTATGTCCAGTCGTGTGGTGGAGGACACAAGGGGAAACCTTTACCAAATTCCTTTTAACACAGGTATAGAACAGCCAGGCCTGGGCTTTCTTTGCACTACTCCTCTTGTCTTGTCTAATGATTTTCATTAAACCATTCGACGGAAGATTCAGAGTTTGGGCATGACTAATAAAGTCATCTGATACTTATTTCCAACACAAAAACATTATCATTAAAAAAAAAAAAAGATTTACTTATTTGAAAGGCAGAGTTAGAGAGAGAGAGAGAGGAGAGACTGGTTCACTCGCCAAATGGCCCCAATGACTGGGCTGGGCCAGGCCGAAGCCAGGAGCCAGGAGCTTCTTCCAGGTCTTTCATGTGGGCAGCACGGGCCCACAGCATCGGGCCATCTTCCACTGCTTTCCTGGGCGCATTTGCAAGGAGCTGGATTGAAAGTGGAGCAGTGGGACTTGAACGGCACCCATATGGGATACTAGTGTTGCGGGCCGAGGCTTGACACAATGAACCACAGCACTAGCCCCAAAACATTATCTTTTAAAAAATAAGGGGCAGACATGGGCACATTGGGTTGAGCCACCGTTTGGGACATCAGCATCCTGTATCAGAGTGCCAACTCCAGGCTCAACCGCTCTGCTTCCAACCCAGCTTCCTGAAATGCATCCTGGGAGGCAACAAAGGATGGCCCAAGTATTTGGGTCCCTGCCACCCACACAGGAGACCGGATGGACTTCCAGGCTCCTGGCTTCAGTCTGGCCTAGCCCTGGCTGTTGCAGGCATGCGGGGGAGTGAACCAGCATCTGGAAGATAACTTTCTCCCTCCCTCCCTACACCCACTCCCATCACTCTTTCAAGTAAATGAAAATAAATAAAAACTAAACAATAAGCACGCTGCCATGCTACTAGAAACAAGGAAAGCAACAGTTATCTTAGAGATGGATTTTACAGTAAAGCTGATTTTTCCGCCCAAAAGTTTCAAAAAGACTCAAATCAAGATCCCTAAGCTAAGGGCTGGCGTTGTGGCACAGCGGGTTAAGCTGCCAGCTGCAAAACCAGTATCTCATGTGAGTGCCTCTCTGTGTTCACTTCTCCACTTCTGACCCAGCTCCCTGCTAATGCGCCTGGGAAAGTAGCAGAAGGCAGCCCAAGTGCTCGGGCCCCCGCCAGCCATGTGGGAGACCCAGATGGGAGTTCCATACTCCCAGGTTCAGCCTGGCCCAGCTTCAGCCATTGCAGCCATTTGGGGAGTGAACCAGCAGATGGAAGATCCCTCTCTCTCTCTCTCTCCTCTCTTCTCTCTATAACTCTTTCAATTAAATAAACAAATCTTAAAAAAAAAAAAAAATCCCAAACTCAAGATGCTCTGAGATACATCCTAAGTCTACAGCGAGATTTAATGGGTGGCTGCTCCAGGTTCTAAAGCATCCAGTGCAACTTCTGTACAAAGTTCAAATACTTTCTAGCAGTGAAACAGTTTGGCAGAAATGTTGGGTCAGTTTGGAGACCAGCTCACCACTCGTAATTGTCGAGCCCACAAGGAATTTAACTAAACGCTGAGGAGTTCAAACAAAGCCACTCACTAAATTAGAACCTAATAGGATTCCTAAATGCAGTGTTTCATTAGTATCTAACCCCATCTCTCCCATCCTTTATTCATTCAACAAACTTGTATTGAGTTGCTAGGGTATGGGAAGGAATGCCAAGAAGTAAAATTGGGACAGGGTTTTAAGAATTAGTTCTTGTTCTCCATGAATCTGGTCTAGATAAAACAAACAACCGATCCCAAAAAAGATTGGCAAACGAAAAGTTAAAACATAATGCGTTAGGCATCATAACAAGGATACAGGAAAAGCCATTCTCATACATGAATTGACAGTTTCCTTTCCGGGGAACAATACCGTATTTGCTTTGCTAAGTGGCTAGGATATTTTAAACGCAAGCTAACAAAACAAAACCCTCTCCCGCCTTAATGACAGCTTAGCAGTACTAAAGCTCATTGCTAGCCCTCTCCCAGGCTCTCAAAGGTCTCTAGAGGCTGCAACCCCTCCGCCACCCAGCGGGGACAGACAATGCCCAGACTACCAAGGTCAGTCCCAAAGGCGCAGAGAGCGGAAATTGGAAATGGATCTTCCAGGTATGTTGGGGAACCCTCCCCTACGTACCCACCTCACACCAAAGCACCAAGGGCGCCGCCTCCAGCCTCGGGGGCCTGGCGTCGCCGCTTTCGGGGGTTCTTGGACCCCTCTTCCTCATCGATCCAGTTCACTGTTTCGTGTTGCTCCCCTAAACCGAGCTCCCCATTGTGGAGTGAGTGAGGAAGGGGTGCGCTTCGAGGTGGGGAAACGCACCACAGGGGAGGTGCTGTCAGCGGGGTGTGCATGGAGGTGTCGGTGTCTTAGGGCAGGGCAAAGGCCCGAGAGACCACCAGTAGGGCGGAGCTTTGGACATTTGGGGTTTTATACAGGCGAGCTATTGTGTGGGGGTCTCTAGAGATAGCCGTTTCCGGGGGATACATGCCACGAGGAAAGCAGAGGAGTTATCCAACGGGATGCCCCAGTGGAGATCTCTCTAGGGGGCTCTTTCCTGGGAGAAGTGTACTGCGGGGATGGGGATGTCATAATAGGGGTCTCGCAGGCAGCCGCTATGGTGCTGTCCGCAGAGGAGCCACTGAGAGGGCGCCGTTCCTGGGAAAACGTTCCTCACCGAGCCGTTTAGCAAACCACCGTCGGCGAGGAAGCCATGTCGGGCCACGCCCTGCGGCGGGAGGCGTCGCCGGACCCCGACAGCCCGCATCCCCAGCCTGGGGCCCCTCTCTGGCCTCGGCCCCGCGTACCTGACGGAGGGCGACCCGCGGCCGGAACCGCCGGAGGACCGCGCGCGGGGCAGCTCCAGCCGGCGCGGGGGGTACACGTCCATGGCGGCGGGCGGCGGAGGAGGACGGCGCCGTTGCGAGGGTCGCTCAGGCCCGCTACAGCCGGGCGGGGCGGAGGGGCGTGCCGGGTGGGAGGGGCCGGGCGCGCGGGGGCACGTCGGAGCGGGGGCGGGGCGGACGAGCGCAAGGAGCGCCGACAGGGGCGCCGGGCCGCCTCGGGGAGGTGGGGCTGCGCCCGGACAGCGGCAGCGCACTCCTTAAGCTCCCAGGCTCTCGGGCCCGGAGGTGGGGGCACGGGCGGCCAAGGCGGGGGTTGCCGCCGCGTCGCTTTGCCCTCTCCTCAGGGCCCGCATCAAGGAGGGAGGCACAGCGCGACTCCCCCCCGGCCGCGCACACGGATGCGCCCGGGGCGGGGCCTCGCGGCAGCCCCGCCCCCTCCGCCCCCGCCCCTCGGGCTCCGGGCTCCAGGCTCCAGCGAAAGCCGGGATCCGGGGCGCTCCAGTCCGGGTGCCTGGCGCCTTTCCCGGGGCTCCAGGCGGGTGTCTTGCCGCTGTTTCCTCACCTGCAGCGTATCAGGGGCGCACCCACCTTTGAAACATCCAGGTGGTTCCTAGCGGGCCTCCGGGTAGCGCTGCGCACCCATCTGTGCCCAGGCCACAGCCGTGAGAGGCTCACTGGATCCCGGGGGACCCCTCGCCGGCACCGGGAAGGTCCTGGCTCTCGCGTTTCCGAATGCGGGCCCGTAGACAGTTAATCTCATCGAGCTCCGGCCTTTTCGTGTGTAGGATGGGGAAACGCTTCGCTGACGGGGTGGCCAGGCGTCTTGTACCTACAAGGTGTGTGTAATAATTTGGCCCTGCGTCATGCATTGATTTGTTAGGATGCCCGAAATGTCCTCTCCATCTTTTTATAGTGAATATTCAATAATTAGTTTGCGCCTTTTTGCCGCCACAGGAATTGACGCTACCTCCATAAATAAAAACCTGATCATGCCTAGGGGTCTCCTAGAGTTTAGCTGAGGGAAAAACCAAAAGGAGCCAGTGGGAATTAAAAATTCTTGTTTTTCATGTTCAAGAAAAGAACGACATTTGGCTCAAGTCCCAAGTCGTGAACAAAAACCCACCATTATTTAGAGGTTGCTTCGCCACACGCTCTGCAAGTCAGCCAATCAGCGACAGCCTCACTCCAGGGGTTTATGCTCGTGGAAATCAACCAGTCAAGAGCGGCTTCACTCGCTAACGGCGCTTCTGGAAGTTGGTAAATCAAGGACGGCCCCACGCTTCTGAGAGCCAGCCAATCCTTGAAGCTGTGAGCTCCAGACAATAGCCGATCAGCAAAAGCCTCACACCCGCAAGCAGACCTCCGAGAGTCAGGGGGTCCTTCGTGGTCCACGAACACAGCCGAGAGCCCACCCATCGCTGCACACCCCGCCTTCTTAAAGACCACCCATCCCTGAGGGCCCGGCTTTCCGAAGCCTTTAATAAGAGCCGCTCTAGCTTTGTTCACCGAGGCTCTCCCTTCAACTCTTTGTTCCAAACAGATGAGAAATTTTTATTTTGCATCGGATATTTAATTCAATTGGGGGGTGTTTGTTTTCTGCAAGTCTGAAGTTTTAAACTCAAGATTCACTCTGTTAGGGGCCGGCGCTGTGACCCAGCGGGTTAACGCCCTGGCCTGCAGTGCTGGCATCCCATGTGGCCGCCGGTTGGAGACCCAGCTGCTCCACTTCCAATCCAGCTCTCTGCTATGGCCTGGAAAAGCAGTGTAAGATGGCCCAAGTCCTTGTGCCCTTGCAACCACGTGGGAGACCCAGAAGAAGCTCCTGGCTCCTGGCTTTGGATCGGCTCCTGCCTTTGCAGCCAATTGACCCTCTCTCTCTCTCTCTCTTTCTCTCTCTCTCTCTCTGCCTCTCCTCTGTATAACTCTGACTTTTAAATAAATAAATCTTTTTTTTAAATTCACTCTATTAATGATTAGGTATGGGTTTGAACTTCTAATGGAACCAAATGATGCAGCCATGAAACTTTTTTTTTTTTACTATAACCTTTGCTAGGACTGCAATTAGCTATTTTGTTTGTTTGAAAGACAGAGGCAGAGACTGAAGCCAAGGCCCAGGAGCATCTTTCTCATCTCCCACATGGGTGCAGGGGCCCCAGGACTTGGGGCATCCTCAACTGCTTTTCCAGGCGGTTAGCAGGGAGCTGGATCAGAAGTGAAGCAGGTAGGACTCGAACCAGGGCCCATATGGGATGTTAGTGTCACAGGCGGTGGCTTAACCCACTACACCACAGTGTCAGCCCCTGGATGAATCTTATAAACATGCTAAATGGAAGAGTCAACCAGAAAGACCACATACTGTATGATTTTAATTAAAGGAAATGTTCAAAGTAAGCAAATTCATAGAAAGATAGTGGTTGCCTAGGGCTGGGGAGGTGGAGGAGAAATGGGAAATGACTGCTAATAGTTGCAGGTTTTTTTGTTGGGGTGATAAAATATTCTAAAGTTGATGGTGGTAGTGATTGCACAACTCTGGGTGTATACCCCTTGAGTTGTTTTAAAAAACTGACAATAGGGCCTGATGTTTGGCAGAGAAGTTAAGAGTGGTTAAGCAGTTATGCCCACATTCAGTATGGGAGTGCCTGAGCTCATGTCCAACTCTGATTCCATACTAGCTTCCTGCAAATGCACACTCTGGGAGGCAGCAGGTGATGACTCAAGTACCTCAGTCCCTGCCACACACATGGGAGACCTGGACTGAGTTCCCCATGCCTGCCTTGTTGCAGGCATTTGAAGAGTAAACCAGCAGATAGAAGAACTCTCTCTGTCACTCCCTCTCTCTCTCTAGAACACTCTGCCTTTCAGATAATTTTTTAAAAAGATTCATCCATGTTGTAGCATGTGTTGGAATTTTGTTCCTTCTAGTTGTTTAATATTCCATTTACCATGTCTTATCCATTTACCAATTAATGAATATTTGAGTTTCCAATTTTTCCCATTAATGTTGTTATAAACATTTGTGGACATAAGTGTTTGGTTCTCTTGAGTATGTACTTAAGAGTGGATTTCTGGATCATGTGGTAATTATTTTTTAAAAGATTTATTTATTTGAAAGGCAGTGCTACAGATAGGGAGAGACAGACAAAGAGAAAGAGATCTTCAGTCTGCTGGTTCACACCCCAAATGGCTGCAATGGCTGGGGCTGGGCCAAGCCAAAGCAAGGAGCCAGGAACCAGGTGCTTCCTCCCGGTCTCTGATGTGGGTGCAGGGGCCCAAGCACTTGGGTCATTAGCAGGAAGCTAGATCAGAAGTGGAGCAGCTATGACTCTAATCAAAGCCAACATGGGATGCTGGCACCACAGGCAGTGGCTTTACCCACTATGCCACAGCACCGGCCCCATCATGTGGTAATTCTACATTGAACCTTTTGAGGAACTGCACATAATTTTCCAGAATGGCTGTTCCATTTACATTCCCACAAACAATATCCTCCTTAACACCTTTGATTTTAGTTATCCCATTGTGAATGAAGTGGTATCTCACTATGGTTTTAATTTATACTTTTTCTGATCATTAATATGTTGAGCATCTTTTCATGTGCCTAATAGTCATTTGTATATCTTCTTTGGAAAATGTCTGTTCAGATCTTTTGCCAATTTTTAATTAGATCATTCATCTTTTTATTATTCTATTTATTTTATTTTTTAAATATTTATTTATTTGAAAAGCAGCGTTACACAGAGAGGAGAGGCAGAGAAAGAGAGGTCTTCCATCCACTGGTTCACTCCCCAATTGGCTGCAACAGTTGTAGCTGGGCCGATCTGAAGCCAGTAGCTAGGAGCCAGGAGCTTCTTCCAGGTCTCCCATGCGGTGCAGGGGTCCGAGCACTTGGGCCACCTTGTATTGCTTTCCCAGCCCATAGCAGAGAGCTGGATTGGAAGTGCAGCAGCCAACCAGTGCCCATATGGGATGCCAGCACTGCAGGAGGCAGCTTAACCCGCTACACCACAGTGCCAGCCCCTATTATTCTATTTTTTAAATATTTATTTATTTGTTTGAAATCAGAGTTAGAGAGAGGGGGAAGAGACAGAAAGATAAAGAGAGAGGAATCTTATATCTGCTGGTTCACTCTCCAGAGATTGCCATGGCCAGAACTGTGCCAAACTGAAGCCAGGAGCCAGGAGCTTCTTCCAGGTCTCTCACATGGGTAACAGGAGTCCAAGCACTTGGGCTATCTTCCATTGTTTTTCCTGGGCCTTTAAGGAGCTGGAAGAGAAATGGAGCAGTTGAGACTTGAAGTGCATTCCCATAGGTGATGCAGGACATCACAAACTTGGATTAACATGCTGCGCCACAGTGCTGGCCCCTGTGTTACCCATTTTTAATTTGTGTATGTTTTGTCCCCAAACGCCAAAATGCAAGCGTGAATGTCATGATGAATCTTCCCAACTGTGCACATTTACATATTAATGAGGAAAAGCTCATTTGCATAGTATGCAAGCATTCATTCAGTACTGAAAATGATGAAAAGCCAAATATAAACTGTAGACTAACAGCAAAGCATAAAATGTGTGATTCTTTTCAACTTGTACTAAAGGAAGTGATAAAATAACAATTTTCCATTGAGAGAAATTCAAATGAAGAGGATAAAAATAATTGCAGCAGAAGTTATAATGATCTCTTACACTGTGTATTATCATCATCATCATTTAGAATATTTTCTGATACCAAAATTGAAAGCAAATTTTTGAAATGCCAGGACAAAATCAACTTCAATATTAAAAACATAATAACTTTATTTATTTTTTATGTTTAT